CTATCCCCATCCCTCCCCACTCCTGGGTGAAGGATATTGCAAAATCTCCATTCCCACCCCACTCCAGGGAAAGGATACTGCACTATCCCCATCCCTCCCCACTCCTGGGTGAAGGATATTGTAAAATCTCCATTCCCACCCCACTCCAGGGAAAGGATACTGCACTATCCCCATCCCTCCCCACTCCTGGGTGAAGAATATTGCAAAATCTCCATTCCCACCCCACTCCAGGGAAAGGATACTGCACTATCCCCATCCCTCCCCACTCCTGGGTGAAGGATATTGTAAAATCTCCATTCCCACCCCACTCCAGGGAAAGGATACTGCACTATCCCCATCCCTCCCCACTCCTGGGTGAAGGATATTGCAAAATCTCCATTCCCATCCCACTCCAGGGGAAAGGAAGGATATTGTAAAATCTCCATTCCCACCCCACTCCAGGGAAAGGATACTGCATTATCCCCATCCCTCCCCACTCCTGGGTGAAGGATATTGTAAAATCTCCATTCCCACCCCACTCCAGGGAAAGGATACTGCACTATCCCCATCCCTCCCCACTCCTGGGTGAAGGATATTGTAAAATCTCCATTCCCACCCCACTCCAGGGAAAGGATACTGCACTATCTCCATCCCTCCCCACTCCTGGGTGAAGGATATTGCAAAATCTCCATTCCCATCCCACTCCAGGGGAAAGGAAGGATATTGTAAAATCTCCATTCCCACCCCACTCTAGGGGAAAGGATACTGCAAAATCCCCATCCCTCCCCACTCCTGGGTGAAGGATATTGTAAAATCTCCATTCCCACCCCACTCCAGGGAAAGGATACTGCACTATCTCCATCCCTCCCCACTCCTGGGTGAAGGATATTGCAAAATCTCCATTCCCATCCCACTCCAGGGGAAAGGAAGGATATTGTAAAATCTCCATTCCCACCCCACTCTAGGGGAAAGGATACTGCACTATCCCCATCCCTCCCCACTCCTGGGTGAAGGATATTGTAAAATCTCCATTCCCACCCCACTCCAGGGAAAGGATACTGCACTATCTCCATCCCTCCCCACTCCTGGGTGAAGGATATTGCAAAATCTCCATTCCCATCCCACTCCAGGGGAAAGGAAGGATATTGTAAAATCTCCATTCCCACCCCACTCTAGGGGAAAGGATACTGCAAAATCCCCATCCCCCCCCACTCCTGGGGGAAGGATATTGTAAAATCTCCATTCCCACCCCACTCCAGGGAAAGGATACTGCACTATCCCCATCCCACCCCACTCCTGGGTGAAGAATATTGCAAAATCTCCATTCCCACCCCACTCCAGGGAAAGGATACTGCACTATCCCCATCCCTCCCCACTCCTGGGTGAAGGATATTGTAAAATCTCCATTCCCACCCCACTCCAGGGAAAGGATACTGCACTATCCCCATCCCTCCCCACTCCTGGGTGAAGGATATTGCAAAATCTCCATTCCCATCCCACTCCAGGGGAAAGGAAGGATATTGTAAAATCTCCATTCCCACCCCACTCCAGGGAAAGGATACTGCACTATCCCCATCCCTCCCCACTCCTGGGTGAAGGATATTGCAAAATCTCCATTCCCACCCCACTCCAGGGAAAGGATACTGCACTATCCCCATCCCTCCCCACTCCTGGGTGAAGGATATTGTAAAATCTCCATTCCCACCCCACTCCAGGGAAAGGATACTGCACTATCTCCATCCCTCCCCACTCCTGGGTGAAGGATATTGCAAAATCTCCATTCCCATCCCACTCCAGGGGAAAGGAAGGATATTGTAAAATCTCCATTCCCACCCCACTCTAGGGGAAAGGATACTGCAAAATCCCCATCCCTCCCCACTCCTGGGGGAAGGATATTGTAAAATCTCCATTCCCACCCCACTCCAGGGAAAGGATACTGCACTATCCCCATCCCACCCCACTCCTGGGTGAAGAATATTGCAAAATCTCCATTCCCACCCCACTCCAGGGAAAGGATACTGCACTATCCCCATCCCTCCCCACTCCTGGGTGAAGGATATTGCAAAATCTCCATTCCCATCCCACTCCAGGGGAAAGGAAGGATATTGTAAAATCTCCATTCCCACCCCACTCCAGGGAAAGGATACTGCATTATCCCCATCCCTCCCACACTCCTGGGTGAAGGATATTGTAAAATCTCCATTCCCACCCCACTCCAGGGAAAGGATACTGCACTATCCCCATCCCTCCCCACTCCTGGGTGAAGGATATTGCAAAATCTCCATTCCCACCCCACTCCAGGGGAAAGGAAGGATATTGTAAAATCTCCATTCCCACCCCACTCCAGGGAAAGGATACTGCACTATCCCCATCCCTCCCCACTCCTGGGTGAAGGATATTGTAAAATCTCCATTCCCACCCCACTCCAGGGAAAGGATACTGCACTATCCCCATCCCTCCCCACTCCTGGGTGAAGGATATTGTAAAATCTCCATTCCCACCCCACTCCAGGGAAAGGATACTGCACTATCCCCATCCCTCCCCACTCCTGGGTGAAGGATATTGCAAAATCTCCATTCCCACCCCACTCCAGGGGAAAGGAAGGATATTGTAAAATCTCCATTCCCACCCCACTCCAGGGAAAGGATACTGCACTATCCCCATCCCTCCCCACTCCTGGGTGAAGGATATTGCAAAATCTCCATTTCCACCCCACTCCAGGGGAAAGGAAGGATATTGTAAAATCTCCATTCCCACCCCACTCTAGGGGAAAGGATACTGCAAAATCCCCATCCCTCCCCACTCCTGGGGGAAGGATATTGTAAAATCTCCATTCCCACCCCACTCCAGGGAAAGGATACTGCACTATCCCCATCCCTCCCCACTCCTGGGGGAAGGATATTGTAAAATCTCCATTCCCACCCCACTCCAGGGAAAGGATACTGCACTATCCCCATCCCTCCCCACTCCTGGGTGAAGGATATTGCAAAATCTCCATTCCCATCCCACTCCAGGGGAAAGGAAGGATATTGTAAAATCTCCATTCCCACCCCACTCCAGGGAAAGGATACTGCATTATCCCCATCCCTCCCCACTCCTGGGTGAAGGATATTGTAAAATCTCCATTCCCACCCCACTCCAGGGAAAGGATACTGCACTATCCCCATCCCTCCCCACTCCTGGGTGAAGGATATTGCAAAATCTCCATTCCCACCCCACTCCAGGGGAAAGGAAGGATATTGTAAAATCTCCATTCCCACCCCACTCCAGGGAAAGGATACTGCACTATCCCCATCCCTCCCCACTCCTGGGTGAAGGATATTGTAAAATCTCCATTCCCACCCCACTCCAGGGAAAGGATACTGCACTATCCCCATCCCTCCCCACTCCTGGGTGAAGGATATTGTAAAATCTCCATTCCCACCCCACTCCAGGGAAAGGATACTGCACTATCCCCATCCCTCCCCACTCCTGGGTGAAGGATATTGTAAAATCTCCATTCCCACCCCACTCCAGGGGAAAGGAAGGATATTGTAAAATCTCCATTCCCACCCCACTCCAGGGAAAGGATACTGCACTATCCCCATCCCTCCCCACTCCTGGGTGAAGGATATTGCAAAATCTCCATTCCCACCCCACTCCAGGGGAAAAGAAGGATATTGTAAAATCTCCATTCCCACCCCACTCCAGGGGAAAAGAAGGATATTGTAAAATCTCCATTCCCACCCCACTCCAGGGAAAGGATACTGCACTATCCCCATCCCTCCCCACTCCTGGGTGAAGGATATTGTAAAATCTCCATTCCCACCCCACTCCAGGGGAAAGGAAGGATATTGTAAAATCTCCATTCCCACCCCACTCCAGGGAAAGGATACTGCACTATCCCCCATCCCCACTCCTGGGTGAAGGATATTGCAAAATCTCCATTCCCACCCCACTCCAGGGGAAAGGAAGGATATTGTAAAATCTCCATTCCCACCCCACTCCAGGGAAAGGATACTGCACTATCCCCATCCCTCCCCACTCCTGGGTGAAGGATATTGCAAAATCTCCATTCCCACCCCACTCCAGGGGAAAGGAAGGATATTGTAAAATCTCCATTCCCACCCCACTCCAGGGAAAGGATACTGCACTATCCCCATCCCTCCCCACTCCTGGGTGGGTGAAGGATATTGCAAAATCTCCATTCCCATCCCACTCCTGGGTGAAGGATATTGTAAAATCTCCATTCCCACCCCACTCCAGGGAAAGGATACTGCACTATCCCCATCCCTCCCCACTCCTGGGTGAAGGATATTGCAAAATCTCCATTCCCACCCCACTCCAGGGGAAAGGAAGGATATTGTAAAATCTCCATTCCCACCCCACTCCAGGGAAAGGATACTGCACTATCCCCATCCCTCCCCACTCCTGGGTGAAGGATATTGCAAAATCTCCATTCCCACCCCACTCCAGGGGAAAGGAAGGATATTGTAAAATCTCCATTCCCACCCCACTCCAGGGAAAGGATACTGCACTATCCCCATCCCTCCCCACTCCTGGGTGAAGGATATTGGAAAATCTCCATTCCCACCCCACTCCCAGGGGAAAGGAAGGATATTGTAAAATCTCCATTCCCACCCCACTCCAGGGAAAGGATACTGCACTATCCCCATCCCTCCCCACTCCTGGGTGAAGGATATTGCAAAATCTCCATTCCCACCCCACTCCAGGGAAAGGATACTGCACTATCCCCATCCCTCCCCACTCCTGGGTGAAGGATATTGCAAAATCTCCATTTCCACCCCACTCTGGGGCCAGCCAGAGGGGGGTATTTGCCAGTTCTCCAAACTACTCCAAATTTCTGCTACCGGTTCGTCAGAATCTGTCGGAACCTGCTGGATTTCACCCCTGGTTGAGCCCAATCTAACCGGCTGGGGTGGCCGAGTTGAGCCGCCTGTTCCTTTAATTTGCTCCGTTCCTCCCCGTTCCATAATTGGGCAACCGCATCCTCGCAAGCCAGGACCGCGTGGTTCTCTCGGGGGAGGAGGGCGCGCTTGGAAAAGGGGGGCTGACGCAGAAATTCTCCCTCCCTCCCATCTCAGGTCTCTCTCTCTCTTTCTCTCTTCCCCACCCCACCCCTCCGCTCCCCAAATCCACCCGCCAAAGCCTCGCCAAAGCCGCCGCGATGTCCTCGGAGAAAACAGGTGAAGAAAAGCGCCCTGGAAGGCATTGGAGTGGAGGGGAGTTGGGGGGGGGGAGAGAGAAAAAAAAAACACGCGGGGGAAGGGAATCGCGCGTGCGTGCGTGCGTGTGTGCCACGGAGGACCCTCCCCATCCCCCCCCACCCTCCCCAAACCCGGGCGGGGGGGGGAGGAGAAAACCAGCCGGAGCGCGCGGGGCTTAGCAAAATGCCACGCGTGTTTTCCCACGCGAGGCCGGAGGTGCATTGGCGAGGGAGGGGAGGAGAGAGAGAGAGAGAGAGAGCATGCACCGGGAAGAGGGGGGGCGGGTGCATTTTAAAAGGGTGCATTTTAAAGTGTGGTCGGGAAGAGGGCCCGCTGCTAATGCCCCGTAAGGGAAAGGGCTCGGCTCCCGGTCCGCAGACGGTCTGGGATGCAGCTACCGACCCAAAATCTAATATGTGTATATTTGTGTGTGTGTGTGTGTGTGTGTGCGCGGTTGCATCCTCTGCAAGGAAGTGCCGCACGTGGCGTGCAGGGATGTCACCCCAGGGAAAGCGGTTTGGGGTGGGTGGAGTGCAGAATATCGGCCGCCACTTACCGCTTCCCCTCACCCGCCTAAAAAAAAAAAGCGTCCTTAACCGGGATCTGCGAAATGGATAAGGCCCGCTCTTGCGACCTGCGGGGGTTTTATTTACCTCACGTCGCTTTTGTCTCGCAAAGCGGCGGGAGATCAAAGGAGCCCAAAGGTGTGCTTGGAGGCGAGAGGTGGCAGCCTGAGGAGATGTTTGCGTGGATGTCATGGATACAAGGGGGCTGGCACATGTATTGTGTGCCCGTCCGTGGCACACACACACAAACACAGAGAGAGAGATGCGACGTTGTGTGTGTGTGAGAGAGAGAGAGGTGAAACTCTGTGACAAAAACAAAACAAACTCATGTTTTTACTACCTGGGTGGATCCCAAGCTGTGACTCTTACCGTCCAGATGAATGGGAGTGGTGCGGGGTTTAACTTGGGATGTGCCTTGAAGGGTGTGAAATTGTGTGTGTGTGAAATTGTGCAGGTAGGGGAGAGCCACACAATGGGGATGATGTCATGATTAGGCAGAGACCTGGGGAAAAAAACACACACAAAAAAAACAAAACCCCGGAGCATTGGGTTTAAGATATCATAGGAAATTGTCATATGCTTGATTGTCGTCCGTCCGGGTACCCAAATAATGCGGGAAGCAGACAAGGCTACGGGTTTTTTTTTGGTGTGGGAAGCAGATGGCATTTGGCCGGGCCTTTGTGTGTGTGTGAGGAATTGGGTAGGACCATCTGTTTGTGCAGGATTTGGGATTTCGAGCAAGTGGACGCTGAGGTTGTCCTGGGTGTGTGTTGCGTTTTGGATGTTGTTGTGAGCATGTGGACGCTGAAGGGGCTGGGGGGAGCGAGGGGTTTGTGAAAGACATCTGGCAGCCTGGAAACATTTGTGGATAGTTGGCCCCGGGCGTTTGCAAACATGATAAATGAAAACATAGTTGGCGAATTCTCGGTTTAGTGCGTATGCAGGCTCGGACTGTATGGGTAAGGCATGGTTTTGATATATTGTGAGAACCTAGACAACGGGGGCTGAGTGAACAAGCCAATCTTGTTCAATGTTTGGCACACATATCTGGGTCCACGTGGGCGTTTGGGATGTGCAAATGGATGTTCACCTTAAGAAGGGAGTGAGGGAGAGGACCTTAGGTCAGCCTAAAGAATTGGGAATCCATGCATCTTAAGTGCCTTATGAGGAGATGTTGTTGAAGAGAGTGCAAAACCTGTAAATGTCGGGAAGAATCTTGCTGGATCAGGCTAAGACTTAGCTTAGTCCATATCTTGTTTTTCCTTGGGCAGAGGTTCCCACTTCCAGACTTGTCTTCCTGCAAGTTGATATTTGGAGGTATGCTCTCCCCAAGCCTGGATCTAATCACCCCAAATCTCCATCCTATAGAACAGAGGTTCCAAACTTTTTCTATACCCCGCACCCCTAGAACGCTTCTGATATATTCTCACACTCTGCGGCCTGTTTTCAGCTGGGAGAGTGCTGCAGGAAGACTGGCTTGGACTGGGTTACAATTACCGTATTTTTTGGAGTATAAGATGCTCCGGACTATAAGATGCACGCACCTACCTTTTTTAGTGAGGAAAACAAGAAAAAGAAATCTGCCTCTGCCTCCCAGCAATTTTGCCTCGTTGCAGCAAACAGCCTGCTTTACTTACATTTTCGTTTTCGGCATAGCTTGATAAGCACAAGAAGAAAAAAAAATCTGCTCCCAGCAATTTACCTCCTTGCAGCAAGCAGCAGAGGCCCGTGCAAAACAGCTGGGGGCAAAAGAGCTGAAAGTCCGGAGGCCGATCCAATCAACTTGTGCTAATTAGGCTGTGCTGAAGCTGAAACCAGCTGTTTCTTCTTGCTGCTTGCTGCAAGGAGGTAAACTGCTGGGAGGCAGAGGCCAAAGGGTGGGGGCCAGTAGGTGGGCGGGGTTACATTCGGTGTATAAGACACACCTAAATTTTCACCCACTTTTAGGGGGAGAAAAGATGCGTCTTATACTCCCAAAAATACGGTATATGCATATAATTATACATATACACTGTAGTTTTGAAACTTCTAAACCCATGTTTTCGTACCCCCTGGAATATCGTCTTGCACCCCCAGGGGGTGTGAGCACCCCCGGTTGGGAACCCCTGCTATAGACCAATGTTTCTCAACCTTGGTAACTTTAAGATCTGTGGATTTCAAATTCCATAGGAGAAGTTTCCTGACTGTTAGAACAATTAACCAGTGGAACGAATTGCCTCCAGAAGTTGGAGGCTTTTAAACTCCAAAAGCATTGGAGGCTTTTAAGAAAATATTGGATAGCCATTTGTCCAGAATAATATATGGTTTCCTACCATTTGTAGGGGGACGTGGTGGCTCAGCGGCTAAGATGCTGAGCTTGTCGATCAGAAAGGTTGGCAGTTTGGCGGTTCGAATCCCTAGCGCCGCATAACGGAGTGAGCTCCTGTTACTTGTCCCAGCTTCTGCCAACCTAGCAGTTTGAAAGCATGTAAAAATGCAAGTAGAAAAATAGGGACCACTTTTGGTGGGAAGGTAACAGCGTTCCTTGCGCCTTCGGCGTTTAGTCATGCCGGCCACATGACCACGGAATTGTCATCAGACAGCGCTGGCTCTTCAGCTTAGAAACGGAGATGAGCACCGCCCTCTAGAGTCGGGAATGACTAGCACGTATGTGCGAGGGGAACCTTTACCTTTTAACATTTGTAGTACAGAGAGTTGGGCTAGAAGACTGGGCTAGATCCCTTCCAACTCTTGTTATTCTGTTAATTCCCCAGCCAGCTATGGAATGCTGGGAGTTGAAGTCCATATGTCTTAAAATTGCCAAGGTTGAGAAATATTGCTTTAGGCCCTTGGTTGTCCCGTTATCCATGAATTTATCCAAGGTCTTTTTCAAAGAGATCCAATTTAAATGGCCACCATCAAGCCTTGTAATGATTGCCACAAGTTAATTATGTTCCGTGTGAAGATGTCCTGCTTCCTTTGGTCCCTCTTCTGAATCTCCTTCCAACCCTCTGCCTTTCCTGTTTTAAGAGACTGAAAACCTTCTCCAAACTAGAGGTTATTTTGTACATCTTGGCCAGGTTCTAGCCTTGGTCATCTTCCTTTCCCCAATCAAATTGTCCCATACATTCAAGATATTTTCTCATTAGAAGATATATTTCAACTCCCCCAATAGTTTTGGTTGCCCTTTCCTGAACTTCTTCCAGCTCTGTTACATTTTTTTATTAAGGAAGTGACCAGTGGTGGGTTCCGCCCGGTTCCGCCGAGCCGGTAGTGGTGACGATATGACGTCACCGAACCGGTTCTCTTTGTTCGGGAGCTGCCCGCCACCGCGTTATTCTTAACTTTTATTTGGCCCTGCCCCCAATCTATTCGCTGCCTCCCGAGCCCCAGCTGATCGGCTAGAAGGAAAAAAAACTGTTTAAACTCTTGCCGCGGGGCTTCAAAGGGCCGCCCTACAGCTGATCAGTGTTAAAAGGCAGTGTGGTGGTAGACCGGTGCCTCCAAAAACAAATGAGTAGACCAGTGCCTCCAAAAACAAATAGGTGGACCGGTGCCTCAAAAAACAAACGAGTGGACCAGTGCCTGTTAGACCAGTGTCTCCAAAAAACAAATGAGTAGACCAATGCCTGGTAGTCCGGTGCCTCCAAAAACAAATGAGTAGACCAGTGCCTGGTAGTCCGGTGCCTCCAAAAATAAATGAGTAGGCTGGTGCCTCCAAAAACAAATGAGTAGACCAGTGCCTCTTAGACGGGTGCCTCCAAAAACAAATGGGTAGACCGGTACAGCTCTGCAAGCAGTTAAAAGCCTGGTAGACCAGTACCTCTGCTAAATCCTAAATAATTGTCACATGACCATCAAACCACACCCACAAAATAAGCCACGCCCACAGAACCGGTAGTAAAAAAAAATAGAACCTACCCCTGGAAGTGACCCTATATTTGCATAACATAAGATTCACCTTATCGGTCAGATGGGTGGCATATAAATTTAATACATTATTTAGATAGGGGGATTTGACATTATCACTGTGCTGTCCTCTGTGACTTCCAAGATTCTTTTCCTAGTTCATTATAGATCACACAGTGTGGATTAGGATTTAGGGGCCCATTTTCCTGAAACTAATTGGCAGTTGTCATTTGCTGGTCCATTCACTTAGTTTATAGATAATTTTTGCAATTGCTTGTGAGCTTTACTGCCCAAAATAGTTTAGTGTGTGTCTGTCTTGAAATTGTCAGAGGCAAGAAACCATGAGCCAGGATAGAGTTCAAAAACACGGTGAGTTTGTTCCGTGCAACCTGTTCACAAAAAATCTGATCTACCAATAGACTAGACTAGACTAGACTAGACTAGACTAGACTAGACTAGACTAGACTAGACTAGACTAGACTAGAATAGACTAGACTAGAATAGAATAGAATAGAATAGAATAGA